CACAGTTGTCCTCTTTAGATTTTCTCTGGCCCAAACTCTCATGTCGCTAACCATGACACCAGCTAGTGTACTGCACATGGCTCTGAGTCCCAGGCTTCAGGTGGCGTCAAGCGCGGCCCCTAGCTGACTGAAATCCTTACAGATTTTTTTTTTCTTCAACCGAAGTTTGGTAATCACACCAACCCCTTGCCGTCGAGTCAATTCTGACTCACAGCGATCCCACAGGACAGAGTAGAACTGTGCCATAGGTTTCCAAGGAGTGGCTGGTGGATTCGAACTGCCGACTCTTTTGGTTAGCAGCTGAGCTCTTAACCACTGTGCCACCAGGGCTGCGGTAATCACGCCCGTGTCACTTTAAAACTGTGGCCGTCGAGGAGCAAATGCCGTGCTAAATGTCAGAGGAGGAGATGAAATCACTTTACCACCCATCTGGGCCTGCAGCTTACGCAGAACAAGCTGGCCTGGATCACATTTCTAAAATAAGTGTTACTCAGTTCAGTTCTGGCTGCGCCCTGAAGATATGAACTGGGTGCCTGTCGAATTGGAGCCCTGGTGGCACAGTGGCTAAGAGCTCAGGCTACTAACAGGTTGGCGGGCTGAATCCACCAGCTGCTCCTCGGAAACCCTATAGGGCAGTTCTTCTCTGTCCTATAGGCCCTTTTGAGTCAGAACCTTTTTTATTTTTTTTTAACATAGGAAAAGGGGTTGGGAAGCCCAACAATTCACATTTACTTACATGTGGATTCTTTACATGGAAGAGGAAAGAAAAAGTGAGAGCACTACCCTCTGGGAATGTTATCTTAATTCAGCTGGGTTCATTCAACGCTCCTTATGGAGCACCCACTATATTCAGCTGTTGTCCGAACTGCATGTTATTCAACCATTAACGAGTATTTATAATACAAAAAGAGGAGTTTATTTTTTTTATAAAGTTGCCCGATGCAGCTTTACAAATTGAGTGACAGCATGGCATCTGGTACTTGTTGGCCGGAGAGCACGGGATTTCAATCGGCTCCAAACTGCTCAGGTGCTGCCATCTAGTTCTGGATTCTGGATTTTCCTCCACCTGTGACCCTTCTTTGGTCACTTCACTGCTTCTTAACACCCTCACAGAGGAGACGTCAGGGAAGGGACAGGAGCTGAGATCCTCAGCCGTCCAGGGAGCTGCTGGTGGGGAAGATGGCACAGAACTGAGGAAGAAGTGGGGCAGGAGGGGAGGGGAAGGAGGAAGGGGCTCAAACAGTGGTCACAATGGACTTTTCTGGGGCGTCCCTCCATGTGCCCACCTCTCCCCTGAAGACCTGACAATTAACTGCTGCACCCTTAGCTTCTGCCACTGTACCTGGCGCCTAGTAGGTGCTCAGTGCATACCAAGTGAGCCCAGGCATTTCAGCTCCTAGCCTAGCGATCTCTCGAGGGACGTTTATTTTTATTGTTTAAAGGAAGAGACAATATCTCTTTTTGTTTCTCAAGTTTGAAGAATCTTCCTACAACTTTCTTAGTTTAAGTGTCTGAATGTCTGTTTGCATTGCCTGTTTTACTGTTACGGATTTCAAATCAGTCGGGACACATGGCAATTGGAATTCGACATCTATCTCTCCGTATGATGGATATGTAAATGTGCCTTTTTATTTTATTATATCTATATCCATAAAGGAGAAACAGTTTGATTGTAGCTGTCAGCCAGAAAAATTACACATATTGCTAACGGGAAGAAGCAATGATAACAGCCTCTTCGTTGATACAGATAGTGACAAAATTATATTAGCCACAGCCCCAACAGATTGAGAAACATTTCCTCTTGTAAACAGTCCAAGAAGCTGCAGTTGGAAGTACAACCATTTAGTGGTTGCTGTATCTGAGTTAGCTTCCGTACATTGGAAAATTCCTTGCATTTTTAATTTTCCATCCACGCTTATTTGTACGTTTAAATACTACCCTCTTAAAACAACCCAGTGGAAGCGTTTAGTGTTTTGAGCACCTTAGTGTCTGAATGCTACCTGTTCTGCATGATCCTCTTGGTGGGTTCTGACCTCTGAATGCAAATTTCCACCTTGTCCTTAAACCTGATTCTAATCTCCCATTTTTAAACATGGCTAAAGCTCATGCGGGGAGGCCCTGGTGGCACAGTGGTTAAGTGCTCAGCTGCTAACCAAAAAGGTCAGCAGTTCGAATCCACCAGCTGCTCCTTGGAAACCCTATGGGGCAGTTCTACTCTGTCCTATAGGGTCGCTATGAGTTGGAATCACCTCGATGGCAGTGGGTGAAGCTCACGGGAACAATTTACACTGCCCAACCCTAATTATAAGTTTTGTTGACTTACTGATTGTACTCCATTGAACACTCTCCTAGGGAATTAATTACAAGCAGGTGGTGAAGGCCAGGAGGAGGAGCTTGTGAGTGGGGTTGAAGGGAGATGTGACCGCCATGGAAAGAAGAGAAAAACCTGCGTCCTCCTGTGTCCAGCACCCTTAAACTTCTGTACATCCAATTATCTTGGAATATGTTCATTAAACAAAACAAAGCAAAATTGTGGATTTGGCTCTCACCTCCAACATTCTATGCCCTAATTAATTTACCGACATCCAAGTAGTACTTGAGGACTACAAGTTAGTATTCTCATTTCTCAGAGAAGTCTATACAAGTGAATACATAGACCATGTCTATACTCTGGATGAAAGTTAGGAATGAAGAAGAGAATGGTAAAAGGATGATGATGGACTAATAATCACCGCTGCACAGTGCTTTAAATTCTCAAGACACTTGGATCTTAGAAGGGCCCCATGAGGCAAGGAGGACAGGTATTATTATCATTATTTTCTGATAAAGAAGCAGGGACTCAGAGACATCTGTTTCTCATTGTCAGCTGCAGTTGAGTCAGCTCTGACTCACGGCGACCCCACGCACAACAGAAGGAAATGCTTCCCAGTCCTGCGCCATCCCTGTGAGGGTTGTGAAATGGATCGCTGTGATCCACAGGGTTTTCAGTGGCTGATTTCCAGAAGTAGATTGCCAAGCCTTTCTTCCTAGTCTTTCTTAGTCTGGAAGCTCTGCTGAAACCTGTTCAGTATCATAGCAACACACAAGCCTCCACTGACAGAGAAGTGGTAGCTGTGCTTGAGGTGCACTGGTTGGGAAGTGAACCTGGGTCTCTTCATGGAAGGCAACAATTTTACCACTGAACCATCAATGCCCCATCAAGACATTTAACACCCTTTTATCTTCCATTTTTCAGGAGGGATAGTAGTTTTTAGTCTGTTTCCTGAGCTGGACTGTAAGCAATTACAGGGCAAAGGAGGCAGGAAACAATCTCGGTGTTGCACACTGCTCTGCCCAGGACTTGACACACAGTACCCCATACAGATGTGTCCTGCATGCTAGTCCAACAGTTTAAGTTAAAAACAGGAGTCAAGCTGAAGCCTTGACACCATATCTTCTGTCTTCTGGGCTTGTTCTTGCCACAGATATTTTCCCCTGAGAGTTTTGTCTTCACTTCCTAGAGCTGCTGTAATGAAATAGCACAGGGTGGTAGCTTTAAAGAACAGAAATTTATTGTTTCACAGTTATGGAGACTAGAAGTCCACATCAGGGCATCAGCTTTACGGGAGGATCTGTCCTTGTGAGCAGCCCTGGGCAGCCCTTGGCGTTCCTAGGCTTGTAGGAAGTTGCTCAGATGGTCACCCCCTGTGCATCTGTCTGTCTATGTCCGTACCACCCTTCATAAGGCACCACTCAGAAGGGATTAGGGCCCAGTCTACTCCTGCATGACCTCTTTAACATAACAAAAGAAACACCTTATTTCCAAAAAAAGATCAAAAAGGGGCTAGGACTTCAAAATATATGTTTGAAGGACACACTTCAATCCATAACAAGTCTAAACACTCTTCAGTATTCTTTACTATGCGTACTTTGTCATTTTCAGCCTCTCAAGAGGATCCCAGGATGTTATTTTTATTCACTTTCTCTTGTTTCTTCTCGTTTTAAACTGACATTGGGAATGGAAGTAATACTTGGGTTTCAGGTCTAGAGGGGGATAAAGGGTGATGGGATTTTCTTTTTCCTGTGTAAGAATTATTTACTTTGTTATATAGAATATGGCCTTTTTTTGGGGGGGAGGGGGAAGGCTTTCTGGAATGAATCACTATTATTCTTTGTCAGTTATAATTTACCCAAACAGAAATACTTCACTTTTGGTAGCATAAAACTGCCAACAGCCCAGAATACAGGTGTTTAGAAATGTAAGTCTCACTAAAACCATTTGCCTTAGCTTTCTAACTAAATTCCTGGATGCCAACCCCATTCACACTGGTTGGTCTAATCGCTGTATTGAACCAGCCCCACCAGGACTCAGAGGTGCATTCAATGTCAAGGCTCCAGTTCCCTCAGAGAGGGCAACATTTAACTTACCAAGTGCTCTGGATGGAATCGTTTCCCCCAAAAATGTGTGCCAACTTGGCTAGGCCGTGATTCCCGGTATCGTGTGGCTGTCCTCCATTTTGTGATCTGCTGTAATTCCTAACCTCTATGATGTTAATGAGGCAGGATTAGAGGCAGTTATGTTAATGAGGCAGGACACAATCTACAGGATTAGGTTGTATTTTGAATCAATCTCTTTTGAGATATAAAAGAGAAAAGCCACCAGAGAAGAGAGGGACCTCATTACTACCAAGCAAGAAGAGGCAAGAGCATGCGTCCTTTGGACCTGGGGTCCCTGCGCTGAGAACCTCCTAGACCAGGGCAAGATTGACGACAAGGACCTTCCTCCGGAGCCGACAGAGAAAGCCTTCCCCTGGAGCTGGCGCCCTGAATTCAGACTTCTAGCCTCCTGGATCTTTAGAGAATAAATTTCTGTTTGTTAAAGCCATCCACTTGTGGTACTTCTGTTACAGCAGCACTAGATGACTAAGATATGGTGTCATGTGACAGAACATGGCCTTTCTACCTGTGGAGTTTTAATTTTATCTTGTCCCACAACATATTAACAAAGAACCTGTACTTACATATCATCAAAGACAAGCTTCTGCCTCTTGCAGTCCCTGTGCCCGTTGGAGACTGGAGACCATGGCTCTGTCTGTGGCCGTGACTTGTGGAGGAGAACGTTCTCGGAATTGTTGTGTGCTGCTTTCTAAACAACAAATAACACACGAATCTTTGAGAAACTGATCACCTGGTTGACAGATCAGCTCGTTAAACAGAATATCTTTTGTTCTGTGTTCTATATTATAATTGATGATGCTTTTTTGATTAAATAAAGAAAAGTAAACACGTGCATTTTAGGTCTCAAGCTGAGGGCTTTGACATATGTAGTCCAATGACATCCACACGGAATATCGAAAAGGAAGTCTTATTATGCCCACTCTCACAGATGCAGAAACTGAGGCTCGGTAAGGTTCAGTAATTTGCCCAAGTTCAAATAGCTACTGCAGGTGGAGGCCCAGGGGTTAGGATTCAGGCCCCTGCTTTTCCCAGTCTGCTAGACCAGTGGTTCTCCAAGTTCATTGGGGATCAGAATTACTCGAGGGGCTTGTTAAAATACAGATTGCCGGGACCCTCCCTCGGAGTTTCTTGTCTAGTAGGTCTGGGGTAGGTCTGCATTTCTAACAAGTTCAGGAACCAAGCTTTTGGAAACACTGTGCCATATTCTCCCTCACAGAAGAGACATCATTCAAGTCACACATTAACTGGTTCTCATTAACTGTCTGGGAAGAACATGAAAAGCCAAAGGGAATTCACGAGAAATTATTTAAAATGTGTTTAAAAAAAAAAAAAAAACACTATTGATCTGTGGAAAAATTAAAAAATCATATTCACTGGGGATATATGTTCTGTCTGCAAATATTTACAGAGTGCCTACTGTGTGTTAAACACCTAGATCATCAAACAACTGGATTTGGTTATGAAATGCAGATGGATTTCTCTGAAGTAATTACAATTGTACATAGACAAATGCTTCTTTACATACAGACTGGTTTTGTGTGTAATATTTGAAGGGTCCATGATACTGTTATAGACGATCAGGAAAACGTGATGTTAAACTTCCAAAACTGTCCTGAAAATCCTCCAGTGGTGCCCACTTGCTCTTGATAAAAGAACCAAACCAGGAACATGGCTTCTGCAGCCTGGCCCTTGCCTGTCTCTCAGCCACTCCTTCTGTGTTCTCTGTGCTTCTGCTTCATGCGACGGTTCTCAGCTCCCCCTCAGGACCTTTGCATATGCTGTTTCCTCTTCCTGTAATGCCCTTCATGCCTTACTTTACTGCTACTTGTCTCTTAGGTATCCTAGATCAAGAGTTGGGAACCTATAACCTGCGAGCTGAACCTGGCCCTTTTTATAAATAAAGTTTTATTGGAAACCAGTCCCGTCCATTCATTTATGTAGTCTACAGCTGCTTTCATGCTACAATTGCAGAGTTGGATACTTGTGACAGTGATCTTGTCGCCCGCAAAGCCTGAAACATTTATTATCTGACCCTTTACAGCAGCAGTTCTCACTGGGGGCAATTTGACAATGTCTAGAAGCATTTTTGGTTGTTGTGACTTATATGTACGTGGAGGGGATGCTACTGGCATCTAGTGGGTAGAGGCCAGGGATCCAACTAACCATCCTACAATGCACAGAACAGTTCGCCACCACAAAGAATTATCTCGCCCCAAATATGATAGTGTTGAGAAACGCTGCTTTACAGAAAAAGTTTGCCAACTCCTGTCTTAGAACAAGGCTCTATATTATCCTGTCTTAGAACAAGACTCTATATTATAAGAGTGCCTTGTCTTCTGTACATTCCTTTTTGGCGCTTGTTAATTACGGACATCTGTGATCCTTTGTCTAAGTCTCTCTCCCCAGTGAGACTGTAAGCTTCAGGCGAGCACAGAGATCCTCATAGCATCACTGGTGCTTAGTACAGTGTCTCAGACACTGTACTAGCACATAGTAAGTAGTTGCTCAGTAAATATCTGCTTCGTGGAAGAAAATGACTAAATAAAGTCTGTAACTGGTTTACAACTCTCCGTGTCATAAATGCTTGTGCTATAAGGATCTAGAGCGAAGAGAAGCTTTTTTTTAAGAAAACAAAAATTGCAATTGTTAGCTTCTCATTCCGTGTTTTTCTAATATGGACTTCTCAAATTCTTTCAGGGCAGTGGTGGTGTTAGCTGCTGTCAAGTTGGCCCCTGACTCATGGGGAAGAGGGTTGATTTCGTCATGATGTAATAGGCACCAGGCACGTGCAGAATCTTCTATCAACGTTTACATCTTTAACTCATGGGATAATGCATGGAATACTGCACTGCCCCTTCTTTCTCTGCAGAGTCCTTTTCCCATACTTTGGACTCCCCTTGCTTCCCTGTCTGACAAAACCCCACTGGTGATGATGGCACAGTGACTCGGGAGAAGGACTCAGTGGGGAGGGGAAGACTGTGGACTGAAGTAATATCGTCCAGAGGGTGAGGGGTGTAGGCCTCTAGCTGTTAGAGAAGACGGACGGTGGCAGTGAAAAGGAAATGACATACAGTGACAGTTCTACAGGCGGTGGGCTCTTTAGATATTGTCATCTCATTTAAATCTTATTACCACCATTTTACAGGCAAAGAAACAGACTCAGAGAGGTTAAGAAACTGACTCAAAGTCACATGGTGGCCAAGATGATGTTGTTAGAGGCTGGGACCACAAAGAGAGGGACGTGGGAACGGAATGGACGAAAATATCGACCAGCCCTCATGGCTCCTGAGCCAGTCTGAGGCTGGGTTCTGTGACTACAGAGGAGGAAGGAGAATGAGTACAACCCAGAACTGCTTGACTTAGATTTTGGTTCGTGTGTTTTAGAACCATTTGGCACCACACTGAGAGGGGTAGAAGAGGGTGGCTGAGAACAAGACCGCCGCTCCCCAGCTCGGCTGCCGCGGAGAAGTTAAGCCAGTTATTGTCGAGTCGATTCTGACTCACGGTGACCCCAGGTGCGCAGAGGAGAGCTGCTCCATAGGGTTTTCAGGGCTGTGACCTTTCAGAAGCAGATTGCTAGGCCTGTCCTCTGCAGTACCAGTGGGCAGGTTCAAACAGCCAACCATCAGGTTAGTAGTAAAGCACGAGCCCTTCGCGCCACCTAGGGGCCTGGCGGCTAAGACAAGAGGCCAGATGTGAACCCAAGTCGGCTGCCTTTCCACAGGGGCATCCAAGGCCCCTGGGAATCACTCCTGAGATCCTGGGAAGAGGGAGTGGTGGTGGGGAGCTGTATGTGACCACAACCCTGGTCAACCAGGGCAGATGGAAGCCCCACGGATTTTGGCCTGGGGTTTCAATCCCAGATTTAACTCTGCCCTAGGGCAAGGAATCTTTCCCAATAAAGGGCTTGGTTGGTTCAAAACTCCCAATTTACTTTACCCCAAGATGGTATTACATTGAGCCCTTTTCTTCTCAGGATGGGAAATAACATCCTGCAAAAAAGCCTCTGCTGAAAAGCAGAAGCGGCTTGAAATGCCCCCTCCAATTTCTTCCTCCCCAGGCCCTCTGTGGGGAGAGGTAGAGGGTGCTCTCTTCGCCTGCTGTCCCCAGGAGCAGCATTTAGGGATTCTTTGTGGGACCTCGAACATGTGTTTCAACTGTGCTAAGAGAGAGGCAAGCAGCCCCAGTGGTGCAACAGTTAAGCACTCGACTGCGAACTGAGAGGTTGGCGGTTCAAACTCAGCCACGGGCTCCTCAGGAGAGAGAGCTGGTGATCTGCTTCCGTAAAGATTACAGCCTAGAAAACCCTCCGGGTAGTTCTACTCTGTCACATGGGGTCACTAGGAGTCCAAAATCGACTTGAGGGCACCCAACAAGAAGAAGAAGAAGCTAGAGGACCGGAGGAGAGGGGTATCTCAAAGCCATTTTAATTCCGATTGGGAAGGAAGAACATGAACGTACCGCCAGGTCTCCTGCGTGAGACAGCAGCTGGTTCTCGGCCTTATGCTTTTTGTTGGAGGAGGCGGCAGTGAACAGACCGTTGCCGTTAGGCCTGCTGGACGAATTTAAGTCCTCGTTGGAGTATTTGTGTTTAGATGCGTCGGAGAGGGGTGAGACAGGTGAGCGGAGCATTTTTTCATTTTTATTTATTGGTATTGCCAGGCTGAAAAAGGAAATCACAGTAAGGGAACATCATGTGATCAGCACACCAAAAGGTAAATGTGTCACTTATGACCCAAAGCCGCCCACTGAAAACCCGCTGGCAGGACGAAGCTGCCTGGGGATTATTACGCCGGGAAACAACTTTATGGTGTTAGCACCACAACAAACAATAAACAAATTTTGCCCATTGTTTCTTTTCTCTTCCTATCGCGACGAACAGTAATTCTGGAGCCAGCACCAAAGCCTATGACTAAGGACAGTAATACATTAACTGCATCAGGGATCTCAAAATAGCTAGCAAACAACTCACTGTTTTCCTAACAAAGCATGAGCAGCAAGTAATGGAAAGAACATCACTTAACAATGATAAACAAGTTCTTCATTTCTAGAAAGACTCTGGCTAACATTTGTGCTTATACTAATCATAATATAGAAAATAACAGAATCTCAAAATAATCAGCAAAGCATGACACCAACTTTTAATTGCTTTGTTTCTGAGTTAACCAGGTCAAAATAAATACAGAACAGAAAAACTGTCATTAGAAGCTGTATTTTCTGATTCTTAGTTCCTTATTTTGTCTTCCGAGCTACCGTATGGGCCTGGATATAATGCTCCCCAAAAATTAACCATCAAAGAAGAGGTACTTATATTTGAGTCTTTATAATGTATATCATATTGTTAGGGCTCCCTCAATTACTTTGTTTTGGGGAAAAAATGTTTGGGGAAGGCACATTAGTTTGAAATAAACTCAATCATTGCTAATTTGGGATGTTCATAGAGGTCACCGGGAACCCTGGTGGCGCAATGCTTAAGAGCTGCTAATTAAAAGGTCGGCAGTTTGAATCCACCAGCCACTCCTTGGAAACCCTATGGGGCAGTTCTACTCTGTCCTGTAGAGGTGCTGTGAGCTGGAATCGACTCGACGGCAAGGGGTTTGGTTTTGTTTGTTTGTTTTTAATAGCGGTCACCTGGTAGAGTCAGTTAGAAAAGGTAAAGACACTGAACAAAGGTTTACCCATTCCTAGGGTTTTGATCTCCTAATTGCACATGTCGGTTATCACAGCAAACAAGCCATTAAAAGTCACTTCAAAAAGCCATTTTCTTAGTTGGTGGCACAGTGCAGAAATCATAAACACAGGCCTCTAGAAAAAATGATAAAACCTAGGTTCTTAATGTTACTCCAATAGATACATGTGGGCATAGAATTTCTGGAGATAGATTTCTGGTTCAAAACGCACAGCGCATCTTCGGAAGAACTGAGAAGACACGCTCTGGACAACTGCGTCGGACGAATCAGAAAGTGAGGATGATGCTGCTGATACTGAAGACGGATGTGAAGACTCTGAATACAATTGTTCCTTAAAACGTGAGTGAAAAAAGGAGTATTCCGAAGTCTGTATTGTTTTACATACCACGTGATTTTAAACGCGCACGTAAAATTAAGTCAGTAAATTGACTATCATGGTAGGCATATGGGAGTCCCTGGGCGGTGCAAAGGTTAAGCACTCAACTACGAACCAAAAGGTCGGTGGTTTGAAACTACCCAGAGGTGCTTTGGAAGAAAGGCCTGGTGATCTGCTTCTGAAAGGTCACAGCCTTGAAAACCCCACGAAATGCAGTTCTACTCTGCACACACAGGGTCGCCATGAGTCGGAATCAGCTTAATGGCAACTGCTTTGGTTTTTTGGTTAGAAGGCATATGTTTGGAGCCCTGGTGGCGCAGTGGTTAAGAGCTTGGCTGCTAACCAAAAGGCTGGCAGTTTGAATCCACCAGCGGCTCCTTGGAAACCCAATGGGGCAGTTCTACTCTGTCCTATAGGGTAGGTATGAGTCGGAATCGACTCAACGGCAATGGGTTTGGTTTGGTTTTAGGCATATGATTACCCTGTCTACATCATTAAACCCACTGCTGTGGCTTATATATTCAAGTGGACCAAAGAAGTTTATTTGGATCTTCTCTTTTGGATGGAATTGGGCTTGCCTTATCACCCTGGTAAAACTTGCCACTAGTAATCACAATTCCAGATACACACAGCCCACCTTTCCTAGAAAGAACTCGAAGCACCTTCACATGCATTGCGTCATTACCTAACCTTTAAAAAAATCAGGGCTACGAGGCGCCGCCAGGCAAAGGCTCTAGAGCAGGAGTGTTTAACCTGAGGTCCGTGAATTGTGGGGGAAAAGTTCCATCTTCAACTTCACTACCTCTAACTGAAATGTAACATTTCTCTCAATTATGAATGAAGGAAGAAACCAGGCTAGTGGTTTAGCAGGAATGATATTAGCATTACCTGTGACTGTGTCACCAATGGAAATGAGACATTTTCATATCATATCACGATTGTTGCAGACATCTTGAAATATTATTTACATTTATCACTACTTAGACATCACAGTAGTTATTAGATCTGCTACAAACACTGTTTAAGGAGCCCTGGTGGCACAACACTTAAGTGCTCGGCTGTGAACATAAAGGCTGGCGGTTTGAATCCACCCAGCAGCTCTGCAGGAGAAAGACCTGGCAATCTGCTCCTGTAAAGGTTCAAAAAAAAAAAAAACAAAAAACCAACCACAAAAAACCAAACCCGCTGTTGTCGAGTTGATTCCGACTCATAGCGACCCTAAAGGACAGAGTAGAACTGCCCCATCGGGTTTCCAAGGAGCGGCTGGTGGATCCAAACTGCTGAAATTCTGGTTAGCAGCCGAGCTCTTAACCACTGAGCCACCAGGGCTCCTCTGTAAAGATTACAGCCTAGAAAACCCTGTGGGGCAGCTCTACTCTGTCACATGGGGTTGCTATGAGTTGGAACCCACTCCATGGCATCCAACAACAACAGAAATACTGTTTAATGAATTAACAAAGAAGCACATATATAACTATGTACACATTTTAAAATATTTGGGGACCACTTTTCCTCATTCAGGGAAGGGTCTGCTGCGGGCATACCATCCACTCTGCAGAGAGTCTCGTGGGCTGGCTCTCCTGCTCAGACCTTCTGGAGTCCTCGCCTTCCTTCACAAGGTGACTGCCGGCACCGCGGTGGGCCTGGGTGTGTGTGCCCTTGCTTTCCAATTTCCCCTCCGAGTCTTAGTATTGCTCTGCATCTTTCCCTAAGCTTTCCGTTTACATTGTTATGTGTTGTGCTGAACATTAATCTCTCCTTAAAGATTCTTCTGTGTACAGTCAGGGAGACTGAGGAGTGCCTTCGTAGAGGAAAAGAGGCTTCCAGGCTGTGGTATTTCTAAACGAAAGGAACTCCTGTGACTGATGAGAAGCTACTGGCTTGTAATAAATATCTGGGACCTTGCCTTGCTAGAAAGCCATTTATCACCGTGGGGATTCAGTCCCCCGCGAGGCCATCTGAACCCCTTTAGAGGAGGGACTAAAGGACCTTGCGGTGTGGCAGTTTGACCCTGGATGTGCAGATCCCATGTGACACCATGATTTTAGTCTATACCCAAGAGCTTTGGATGGGTGCGTCAGATGGGTGTTCCTCTTACAGTCTGGACTTCTTTATTCGTATCATAAGTTTCGTGTTCTTATGAGTTTTGTTGTGTTGTTATTAGATGCTGTGGAGTCTGCCACAGACTCACGGTGGCCCCATGTACAATGGGACGAAACGCTGCCCAATCCTGCGCCACTGCCTTGATCGGTGGCTGATTGGACCCTTGTGATCCATAGAGGTTTCACTGGCTGATTTTTGGAAGTAGATTGTCAGGCCTTTCTTCCTAGTCTGTCTTAGTCTGGGAGCTCTGCTGAAACCCGCCAGCCTCGATTGACATGTGATGGTTGCACATGGGATGCATGAGCCAGGAACTTAACTCATGGAAGGTGAGAATTCTACTACTGGACTGCCAATGTCCCCCTTAAGAGTTTAGCTGCTACTGTTAAAATAATGGTTTGAAAATTCAAGTTTTCGGGAGGAAGGGTGCGTCCTTGGGGAGTGCAAAGCTATGTGTTTAAAAGAATGCTTTTGGGGCAAAATAATTGATCTTTGATTACAAAGGAAGAACTTATCCAGCGATGTGCAGCTGTGACGGGAGGTGCACCTCCAGGCATAATTCTAATCCTTAGATTAAACTGAGGGAAGCAAGTCTGGAGATCTAGATTGAGGCCCCTCATTAAAACCCTACCCTCCTCCGATATGACTTGGGATGTTCAGCTCCAGATAAGCCTCCAGCTCACCTCCACTGGGAGGGCACCACCTACCTGCTAATGCCCACGCTGCAGTGGTTTGCAGACACAGCGTTACTGGCGGAAGCTGTCAGGCGGGACGCGCTCTCCTTCTCTGTCTGGGTCTTCTTAACCTCTCTGTGGTCATCTTCGTTCTCACACTGTGTGGGGAGAAGAGAAACCAGTCAGCTTTGGCTTCAAGGGCTCACAACAAGCTCAGGGTTACGGACGTCCCCAGAGAAAAGCCTCCCAGAGGACTCACTCATCAGCTTCTCCCGACAAGGCAATGGGATCCAGCCTTCCTGCCCCCTGGCTTCCCGGTCAGCTCCTCCAACAAGGCTGGTGTCCTGTCAGCTTGACCACTGACAGCTTATTGAGAGCAAAGCCCCGACTCCATGAGCAAAATTCTGGAGGGGACATTCTGAGCCAGGAAAACTGCTCTGCCACCAACAGGCCTGGGGTTTCACCCTCCAAAGAAGACCCGTTCTGAAGTCACGCTGCGGCCTCGGTGCCACCCATACTGGCATTCCCTGCTATCAGGATGTGGTGTGACGACTTCGTATTCTCTGGGCTTAACGGGTTAAGGGCGGCGACCGGCTTGGACCTTGCTTTTGAAATTCAAACCTTTTGTGAATTTCAAGCAGAGGTTGCTACCTGCTAGTGCCTGCCGTCAAGTTAACAATCACAAACCCACGACGTCTCAGAATCCTTCAAGTGCCTTTTCATAAATCTGTACTCTGGATTCTCGTTCTGAAGATTATGTTTAGCATTAGGTGGGTATGAGAGTGCAATGCAAATGCATTCCATCAAATCCCATTTTTGGTGAGATTGCAGGAGCCCAGCAACAGCCAGGCTCTCTGCCGCCTTTTCCAGACACAAGCCCAGCATCAAAGATAGAAGACTCTGACCTTCTCTCTCTGGACGGATTGTGTGACCACAGCATCTGTCACAGGGTCCCCGATGCTCACAAGAAAACAGTACTCTGGTGGAGGGCCCGCCCCAAAGCTCCAAATCCCTAGTCCTCTGCTCAACAGCTCCAGCAGGGCAAGACTCTGTCTCCCACCCAGCACTGGGGTCTTAGCAACCAGGACACCAAGTTAAGGGCGCTACAAAAACGTTCTTTCAAATCTCCTGTGTCTCTGTTTACTGATGAGTCATTAGATTTGACGAGGAGAGCTGGGTATCAGGCTGAGAATAGATGAAGCTTCATGAGTTAGAATAACAAAGGCCATGAATACAATTTTTTAAATACAGAATATTATTAGATTTGTATGTATGCCTTTCTGCACATCTCTCTCAATACATACATATGTCTATATAGTATATGCGGAGCACTAGTGGCACAGTGGTTAAGAGCTCAGCTGCTAACCAAAAGGTCAGTAGTTTGAATACACCAGCTGCTCGTTGGAAACCCTGTGGATGGGACAGTTCTACTCTGTCCTATAGGGTCGCTATGAGTCGGAATCGACTTGATGGCAATGGGATATACTGTATGTATTTCCAATCTACATGTTTATCAATTTCTATCTTTGTATACATCTCTCATTTTTATATGTATGGGTATATCCATATATGTGTGTGTATATGTGTGTATATACATACACACTTTTCCATCAGCCTATCTATCCATTTATCTGGAGCCCTGGTGGCGCGGTGGTTAAGAGCTCTACTGCTCACCAAAAGGTCTGCAGTTTGAATCCACCAGCTGCTCCTTGGAAACCCTATGGGGCAGTTCTACTCTGTCCTATAGGGTCGCTATGAGTCGGAATAGACTCGATAGCAATGGATTTTGGTGGTTTCTCCATTTATCCATCAATCCCATAGGCAATATCCACACTCATCCCCAAGTGATTAATTGACTGATTGAGTCATTCAACAAAAATTGAGTACCTTCTAAGTGGCAGGTAATGTATTAGGTTCAGGGAAAAATGTAAAAATCTGATAAAATCCAATTCTGGCCTTTAAGGAGGTCAAGATCATGTAAGCGACCACAGCGTGAAAAGACCAAAGATGGAGAGACAAGCGCAGAGCACATGGAGACGTGGAGGAAGAAGCTGCAAACTCTAACGAGAATTTTATGTGGCTTCCAAAAGTGTCTGCCATGTTTTTACAGCTCTGCCACCTCCAAGCAACATCTCTTGATGGGCACGAAGCTCTGACCGGGGCTGTCATGCCTCTGGCGCAGCACACAAATGGCTGGCCGAGCTGCCAGGCAAGGGAGGAAACCGACCCTGGCCAGGTCCCCAAATATTCATTCAACAAACACTTACTGAGCTCACTTTGTGCCAGGCCCCCTTCTAGGAGCTAGCAATACATCAGTGAACAGCCAACCAACCAACCGACCCACCCGTTGCTGTCAAGTCGATTCCAACTCATAGCGACCCGACAGGACAGAGTAGAACTGCCCCATAGGGTTTCCAAGGAGTGGCTGGGGGATTTGAACTGCCAACGTTTTGGTTAGCAGCCGAGCTCTTAACCACTGCACCACCTGGGCCCCATCAGTGAACAAAGAGACATAAATCCCTACTCTGAAGGAGCTGATATTCTGTGGTCCGTCTTCCTAACGGACCCCTGCCCCTCAGTCCGGCTTCTCAGAGACTCTCCCCTGTTGCTATAGTGCGGTCGTGTGTCTTCATCTGACAATGAGTCCAGAACGGAGACCTGCCACGAGGGGAAGCGAGGCACCCTCTAAATGGCACCAGGAAGTGCATTTGACTCCTTTCTTCACACTCACTTGCTACAGTTAAATTTAGTAAGTATTTATGGCAAGGCCTGCAGGCTCCCTTGGAGGTGAAGGCATTCGGAAGAGGCCGAGCGAGGCAGTGTGTTCTCCTCCTCCTTCCTGTGTTGAACCCGCTCCCTCCCATGAGGGCGCCCTGGCTTTGACCTAATTCTCTGAACACTGAGCTATGGCCCTAGTGGTTTTAAAACCACAGGGCTCTGGGGGCTTGCTGGCGATGCCAAGAGGTTCAACAGAGTCTGTGCGCCGGTCACCGGCAGAGATGACTGTACCTCCTACCCACTCAACGTTTCTACACACTTGGAAAACAGACCCTGAGAATCAGCACAGGACTCAGTACCCATAAGGGTGTGTCCGGAGTCCCAGATGCATTACAAAGCTTATGGGCACATCCCGATGTAGAAGGGAGGACACGGAGCTCATCCGCCTCAGCAGGCGATGGTCACCAACCAGTGATGAGGCCAGGCTGTCTAGAGGAGCAGAGGAGGAATGGGGGGCAGGGAGGAAGTGAGCGAGGGCGTACTCCTACTCACTACAGTGTCTGAAGACCCTCCGGCAAGAACGTCACCCTTTACAGAAGGAGAGACGGAAGATCAGAGAAGCTAAGCGGCGTGATTAAGGCCAGGGCTGACTATATAATCTGCGGGGTCCAGCATAAAATGAAAATGTGGGGTCTCTGGTCAAAAGCAAGAAGAGTGACAATAGACAGCGTTAAAATAGAACACATTTTCCTTTCTTTTGTAGTTTCTCTCGACTTGTCGTGGGGCTTTTTATTTGCTATTTAATATGATTCTTTCTGGGGCACCGGGATATTGTGGGGTGAGGCTAGATTCCCTAGAGCACCTGGGGCCCTGCCCTGGACTTGGCCCACCCCCGGCCAATCATGGGACCCATGTGCCTTGCCCAGCAGGGGGCAGGTGGGAAGTCCAGTCAGGCATCTCCCCTTCCCACTGCCCAACCCTTGCTGAACAGACGACCCCAAATAATTGCAACCTCCATACCCGGCTGCCTCAGTACCTGGATGGGTGTTAGGTGAGACGCTGTCCCAGACCCTGACCCTCCCTGTGCCTATGTGTAGGCCTCTGCTGGGGGCAGGAGGTACTACTGGCTGCTGGAGGGAGGTGGGGAGTGCGAGGCTGGGTGAGGCCTGGGCTTCCGGGGGAGAGAAGAGCGGGTGGCAAAGAGCCAGGCCGTCCTGCCCAATCTGGGAGGAAGAAGGAGGTGGGGGGACATATGAGTCAAACAAATCCTCCCCCATGTTCCACTGTGCTGCCAGACTTCACTTACAAAACACAAGTCCAAAGATAAAATTAAGAATGTCAAGGCTGCGATGACCACATGTATTAAACTCCGTGTCTAGCCCTCTGAGCACAGGGCCCCGTGTGTCTGCACTGGCTGCATGGAGTCCACGAAAGCAGATGGTAGGTGGTAATGTCGGGATTCGAGGTCAGGTCTGTCTGGTCTCACAACCCACACTCCTTCCACTCCCTGCAGGTACTCTGAGCAGCAATGGGGAATTCAGCACAGGGGCCACGGGAGGTTAACAGCCAGTGGTAACTGAAAGCTTCCCTGGAACCTCCCTGTAAAGGTGTCTTTGCACACCTTTACCAGAGGAAATGCCAATGCCTGCCCTTGGAAGCTATTTCATTTCATGAACCTTCTTGCAAGGGATTCGAATTCTACTCTAAAAGGATAGGTTTTTTAAGGTTATTACGTGAAGAAACACATTCCTTGGTACTTCAGGATACATGCTTTTAGCCTCTCTGAGCCTCAGTTTCCTCACCTGTAAAGTGGGCATGATGATAATATTTGCCTCAGAGAGTTGTAAGGGCTAAATGACTTAACACAGATAAAGTACGTGGACCGTACCCCACCTGCGGAAATACTGAAGTGTTAACTGTTGTTGCTAAGGACTTTGTCCTAGATTTGGAACCACCGAGGATTACTGCAATCTTTCCTTTGCCACCCACTGTCTTCACTGTGGTCCAGACTACTTTTGAAGATACAGTAACAGGAGGGGATAAACGCCTCAGAACTGGCTTTTGCTTAGGATTAAGTTATTCTACTCGAAAACCTTCAAAAATTGGCTGGGCCAGCAGCTCTTCCTGTACTTGAGCTGCCTTTCTCACACCCAAGTATCTGCTCACCTAGGTGTGACTCAATCCCTGAGCCTCTACTTACTCAATTGCTCCTCCTCAGTGCCCAATTCTCAGCCCCTCCCCACCCCAAAGCCCCCTGATCAGCACTATTGGATGCTGCAGGCCAATGGTACCCTCACAGGGCCCTGTTCACCCACTGCCAGGGTCATATTTCACTCCACTCACATGCCTCCTCGAGGCTGTTGACTTCTTAGGACCATGACAGATCTCCACCATCTATGTCACCCCATCCCTCCCAGCAAAGAATGGGGTGGCCCACGTGTTCAGCTTTTTTTCACACATCCAGCATCCAGCTCACATCTGCACACACTCAATAAATATTTTCTGTGACTATTTACACATGCAGTGGAACAGGGCTTCATTATATACAATTATAAAGTGGGATAATAATAGTACCTACCTTATCAGGCAGCTCTAAGGATTTAAGTGAGCTAATTCATAGGGTTTCCGAGGAGCGGCTAGTGGATTCGAACTGCTGACCTTCTGGTTAGCAGCCGAGCTCTTAACCACTGTGCCACCAAAAAAAAAACCCCCTTTGTCATTGAGTTCAACTCATAGTGACCCTATAGGACAGAGCAGAACTGCCCCAGATGGTTTCCAAGGAGCGGGTGATGGATTTGAACTGCCGACCTTTTGATTAGCAGCTGTAGCTCTTAACCACTATACCACTAGGGTTTCCACTGTGCCACCAGGGCTCCAATATATATAAAGTACTTAGGATGGTATCTGGGGTTTTGGTATATGAGTATTGTAGTCCCTGGATGATGCAAATGGTTAATGCACTTGGCTGTTAACTGAAAGGCTGGAGGTAGGTTCACGTCCACCCAAAGGCACCTCGGAGGAAAGGCCTGGCGATCTACTTCTGAAAAAAATCGGCCATTGAAAACCTTGTGGAGCACAGTTCTACTCTGACACGCATGGGGTTGCTATGCGTCTGGCTAACTCCGTGGCAGCTGTTATACGAGTAAAGATAAATCAACCTCCTGCTGCCACGTACAACACAGACCGAGCCTACTTGTGTTCTACTACTTGTTCCATAAATTAAAGGTAAGTCCTTCCTTCCTCCACACCCTCAGCCCCAGGCCTACCTTGCGTTTCCTCTTGGATTTTGGCAAAGTCTTTTCGGGAGGCGCGTCCGACAAGAGGCTGGGCAGCGGCGCGCTCTCTGCGTCCTTGGCTGCTGGTGTGCTCAGGACCACCGGCTCCTGGGGCAGGTGTTCCGGGATCCTGGACAGAAGGGTCAAGTCAATTTTGACCCAGAGAGACCTGACCTCATCGCTGTCCTTGAGGGGGGAGAGGAGCTCGTTCCGGCCGAAGGGGACCAGCGTGTAGAACTGCTCCTCCAGCTCCTTGGCAATGTCACTGGTGGTCCTGGCGTTGATGGAGCCAACGGGGGCCCGGGGGCCGCCCCCGCCGCTCACGCTGTTTGCAGCCTCCTTCAGCCTCTGGTCACCACCAGAGGACGAGGAGGACGGGGCCCCGGGCTGCGGCTTGGCCAGCGGGTACTCCTCCTGCTCCGACTCGAGGTCAGAGTCCGAGGAGGACGACGAAGACGAAGACTCTGTCTCAATGAACTCCTTGGATTTGGGGACGATCCTGCTCAGCCCCCGCGTGCGGCGCTTCTCACAGGTCACCGAGGAGCGCCGCTCCTTCCTGTGGCCTGTCCTGCCGTTGCTGCTGGGCCGGCTCTTGGTGGGCTCTGAGGGGACCACCACGCTCGCCCCCAGAGCGTCCCCGGCCGCGGGCTCCTCGGGCCGGTGGCAGTTGGTGTTGTCGCCCGCTGAGGTCCTCTCCGTGCGCCGGGTGGGCTTCTTGCCCGCCGCCCTCCGAGCCGGGGCGGGCGCGCTCTCCGCGGGCGCACCGGGCACCGCCGGCGGAGGGGCGGCTGCGGCCACGGCCACCGCCGCGGGCGGGGACTTCTGCTTCACCCCCTTACTTCCCGGGGCCTTGTTCGCTGTCCGGGGCCTCTGCTCCTCCTTGCAGGGGCTCTTGACTTCCTTCTCTCTCAGGCTGGCTTGGCAAAGATCAGGGAGTTTTCCACACTCCTGCACGTCGTCTTTCACGGGGGTGTAGTACTGATTCCCCTCTGGCCCCTGGCTCTCACTCTGGATCAGAATAGGAGGCTTGTGGGGATTGACCTTGTTCAGCCATTTATCCAGTTGCCACTTGTTAGAAGACGCCGGTTCGGCCTGAAAGCAGAAAACCAGCAACAAACAAAACATCTTTTATTAAAGGCTCACTTCAAAGGGGCCTGGCTGTTTTTATCTTGACTATTCCTCCGGGTGTACGTACAGACCGCTAAATGGGCTTAAGGAAAAGGAACATGGAAGTGGCTGGTGTGGGTACCAGCTCTGCGCCTGGGTACCAGGAGGCAGGATGGCGCGTCCTTGCTGGCCAGCTGCACTGTTTTGTGTTAGCGCCTTTGTTCCAGGTCTATTTGGAAAAATAAGTGAGAGGACACTTTGCCACCTTACAACCCATTCTGAGCACTCAAGTTGTATACAATGTGTATGTATTTTAAGTAATTATACACAAATACATAAACTTCAGCTTCGGTGAAGCTTAACTAGAGAGTATTTTGGCAGCCCAGGTGGAGCTTGGCTGCTAACCAAAAGGTTGGCAGTTCAAATCCACCAGCCGCTTCTTGGACACCCTATGGGGCAGTTCTACTCTGTCCTATAGGATCGCTATGGGTTGGAATCGACTCGATGGCAACAGGCTTAGTTTTTTCGGCTGGTGTTTGGTGGCACAGTGGTGAAGTGCTCAGCTGCTAACCTAAAGGTTGGTGGTTCGAATCCACCAGAGAAAGATGTGGCCATCTGCTTCCGTAATGATTACAGCCTTGAGAAACCTATGGGGCAGTTCTACTCTGACCTATAGGGTCACTATGAGCGGGAATCAACTAAAAGGCAAAGGGTTTGGTTCTTTTTGGTTTAAGTGTTAAAACACTCAGTTTTGAGGAGACTTAACTTTGGGGGAAATCCGAACGGGGGGGCGGTTAATGGAAACTATGAGAACAGAGAATAAACGTATATGGTAAAGGCAAGCAGGACGCAGTTATTTAGCAATAGAAGCAATAACTCTGGGAAGATGCTTTGTTGGCAATACAGAACTCAGATGTCAGAAGGGACATGCATGTGTCTTATATGCTTTGGCAGCCTCGTGTGGTTAGAACGTCCTCAACCTGCTCCCCTCACACTCTGTCTGAAGTGTTTCAGAAATGGAGGTAATTATGCTGCCTGAGAGCAAATCATGTACATCACAGGTACTTAAATGCTGGTGCAGAGACCCACTCCAGGGGATTAGTGCATCCCCTGAAACAGGATGTGAGGTGTTGCAGAGATGCATTTCTCTGGGAGATGCCCACAGCCTTCAGTAGAGTCTCTAAGGATCTACATCTCATAAAAGGTTAAGAATGTTTTGATTTTACAGGGAGTACATATTGATTCCTAACAAAAGTCCATTTATCCAGCATCAATGATTATCAGTAGAAAAGAGGTACATTGATGAGTGTAGAACTTTAACTAGACTATTTTCAGTTTGTGATTGACATGAAATGGGGAAAATACTTTGAGTGATTAAGGTGATGTGTTTTTCCTTCCCTGTGGTCTCCGACTCGCTGAATTCATGGTAGCCATTGTTTCGGGGGTAGACAAGAAACCAGCCTAAAATCAAGAAATCATGGCTTAGCTCTGCATTTCACACTTGTTGCATTTCTCACACTAAGTGACCACTGGCACGTCAGTGACTTCTGTGCTTTCAATTTCCTGAAACGAACGAGACATACTGCGTATAAATGGACACCGACGGGGCCTCCTGCAGGAAGGTGACACATACCGGGAGAGGGCACAAATACTGAGGGTAGCACGCACCATTCCCACTGGCCCTCCTGCCATGACAAACACGAGCTCTCCCTCAGTCCCCACCATCCTGAGCCTTCCCGGCTCATGTCTCTTGTTTGAGAGAACACACAAGACAGCCTGTAGCCGAAACACACGGAGATGCACACGAAAGCTCAGCAGTGGGAGTGTTAGCAGTGAAGGGTAGAATTTAATAAACTTAGCTTGGGCCTGTTGCCTGATGTGATCTAGGCTCATTTTTCTGCACTTCACTGCTGAAGAAATCAGTCTAAAGTACCATTTTCAACATATCACTAAATCATTCCCTCTCTCAAGGATCTACAATGACCTCCCGCTGCTTCTCCAATGAAATCCAAATTCCCCGGCTGGCGTTCAAGGGCATCCAGCATCTTACAATCATCTCTCATTGACGGAACATCTCCAATATGCCTCCTGCTTTACAGCTATTATCTCATTTAATCCCCAGAGAAAATAAATATTATCTCCCTAATTTGTAGAAGAGGCTCAGAGAAGTCAGGTGATATACCCAAAGCTACAGGTCGGTGGTTCAAAGCCACCATCAGCTCCACAGGAGAAAGATGTGGCAGTCTGCTTCCATAGAGATTTACAGCCTTGGAAACGCTACGGGGTAGTTCTACTCTGTCCTGTAGGGTCACTAGGAGTCAGAATGGACTCGATGCAGTGAGTTTGGCAACTACAAGGCACCAGACATGTTGGTCTAGGTTTAAAGAACAAATTCTCTCCACCGCTGTTACACCGTATCTGCCACTGCCCTCTTGCACAGCCTTATGAAAGTGGGACCTTATTCCTTTGAAAAATGTCAGTCTCCAACCTAGAATGATAGAATTAGAGCTGATCTTTGGAGAAAACACCACGAACTCTCCAAACAATGCCTGTTCCCCTCTCTTATGCTCAACTGCATAGTCTTTTGATGTTCATACTCATTTCATGTGTCCACATCTTGTGTCTTCAGCAAAGCCAAATCGTCCTTGCAGGCTGGGGCCAGGCCTCTGTTCTTCTGTATCCCCTGCAGTAACCATTACAGATTAGGGGCACAGATTTCTATGACTCTGCTCCTAGAAAGAATCGTTCACAAGGCACTGTCACTCAAATTCTATCATTCATTCCTTGCGACAACCTCACAGATCAGGGAGGACAGGAGGATCTGCCATCCCGGAGATGAGACAATCCGGCCAAGGGAGCTTAACCAGCAGAGTTACAGGTGGCAGGGAAGGAAGAACTCAGGGCTTCCAACTCTAGTCTACTTTCTGAGCCGGCCATCCTGGTGGTTTTGCTCAGTGTTTTCGTTGGCTTGCTTGCTTGCTTCTTTGAATTTTCAGCCATGAGTCTCCTCCCTAATTAACCCTACCTGGTGGCATAATGGTTAAGAGCTACAGCTGCTAACCAAAAGGTCGGCAGTTCGAATCCACCAGGCGCTCCTTGGAAACCCTACGGGGCAGTTCTACACTGTCCTATAGGGTCGCTGTGAGTTGGAATTGACTCAATGGCAACAGGTTCAGTGATGAGCTCTGGAGCCCTGGTGGTATAGTGGTTAACAGCTCAGCTGCTAACCAAAAGGTCAGCAGTTTGAATCCACCAGCCACTCCTTGGAAACCCTTTAGGCAGTTCTCCTCTGTCCCATAGGGTCGCTATGAGTTGGAGTCGACTCGACCACAGCGGGTAGTGCTGAGCTCTGACTCCTGCACAAGTTCACTCGCTACTGTGCACAGTGGCCCCTGCTGCATCCACACCCTTCATGACACTCAGCACCATGTAGCCCGCAGACGCCTAACTCATGAGAAGCTTGCTGAATCAAGGAGAGACTGACATCTCATTTCTGTGACTGTAAAGCAAACAGCCCTGTTGTGTGGGATTCGGGAAAACCAGTCTCCATGCTCTTTGTAAGGGGATTCTGATTTTGCAGGCTGATCGAGGGCAGCATTTTCCAAAACGTGCTTTGAGTGCACATGTTCCATGAAGAAAGGGTTCCATGGTCAGGTGATTTTGGGAAATGCCCCAGTGGAAAACGCAGTTCACGTGAGTAATATAAAGGGCTCGATGACGCCCTACAGGGAAGAAACGGGTCAAACTGACTATCTCAGCGCTCCTTCAACTGACGTCACCAGGCTTTTTTCCGTATAAGACTTACTATCTGGGGAAAACACTGATCTAGGGAACCCCGTGCTGGTGTAGACGTGCTAGCTGAGTGGACAGTGGCTGGCCACCTATAAAGCTCTGGCGTGGGAATTTACAAAACCAGCAAGGCAGATGAACTCCAGGGAGAAAAATTAGGTTGCAAACAACTGAGCAAACATCAGGTGATAGAAAAGGGATTCACGGCCGTGGAAACCGTGTTTACAGTGGATTTCCATGTTAGCTTACCCACATGATATGATTATACTACTGTGATTCATGCAAAATGAAGTGGCTTTCAACAGCCACAGCTACGAAGAACAGTGCGTGTGCAAGTCAGGTGAGCCCCGTGGTTTGCCAAGGGCTGGCATCTGGAGGTGAGAATGGAGGTGCCTTGGACACAGTGAGCACTGCCTTCTCCTCACGCATCAGGATGCAACCAGGAGTGGACTGAGGGCCAGACAGCGTCCCTCAAAGCAGCATCAACCGGTCTGAGCAGCCGAACGTGAGGTGTGTGACTATAAAGCAAAGAGCCCCACTGTGTGTGGGATTCTTCAGGAAAAGGAGTTTCATTGCTGTTGGTACAGTGATCTGGGCCAGCTCAGCCAGAGCTCAGCCGAGACGCCGTGGGGCAGCCGGAGCTCAGCAGCCGAGATGCCGTGGGGCAGGGATGAGCAGGCTCACACCAGCTCCTGTTGCTGTTGCTGTTGGGTGCCATCAAGTCGATTTTCTACTCATATCGATTTACAGTGATGGAGCAGAAGTGCCCCATAGGGTTTTTGGGCTGTAATTGTTACAGGAGCAGATTGCCAGGTCTTCTTCCTGAGGTGCCACTGGGTGGGTTCAAACCACCTACCTCTTGGTCAGCGGCTGGGCACTTAACCATTGTGCCACCAGAACTCCTTGATGCTAGCTCCTAGCTTTGTGATTTTTGGCCTGCAAACTCATTTTGTTTCTAAAGGATGTATGTTTACATTAACCTTGTGAAAAACTAAGAGAAACCTTATTTTCCGACGAATACATTTTCCAGAAGAAAGAATTAACATGTAGTTTGGCTAACACAGCGATTGCCAATTCTGCATTTCCTGTGCATAAAGAAGCGAGCAATTCAAAAATGTAGGTGGCCTCGGGGAACTTAAACTTTTAGGCCTCCTTTAGTTGACTTAGGAGCCCTAGTGGCGCCGTGGTTAAGCGTTCAGCTGCTAACCAGAAGGTCAGCAGTTTGAATCCACCAGCTGCCCCTTGGAAACCCTGTGGGGCAGTTCTACTGTCTTATAGGGTCGCTGTGAGTCGGAATCGACTCAGGGGCAACGGGTTTGGGTTTTGGTTTTAGTCGACTTACGCTCTCTCTTCTGTGCTAGGGGCCTTCTTGATAGCTGCTGGAAGAAATGACAAGTCTTCTTTCATCACCGAGGACTGTAAGTCTTTTTAATTATCTCAGTGACATTCAGAAAGAATTTGCTGAAAGCATTTTTTAACTGTACTTCTTTTAGGCCAGGTTTTGGCCTCACTCAGGAGCTCCGGGATTCACATTTCACCATGAAAACAAGATTCAGTGTTCATGAATTTAACCCTCAAAGTCACAAAGAAGAGCCTGGATGTGGGGCCTTCACAGGACACTAACACCTTTTACCCCCACCCCCCAAGCCCTTGCACTGCCGCTGGGACTCAGTTAGTTCTTATAACTGAATATTCTGAAACTTCTCCACAAATCACAGCACAAAACAGGCTTTGAAGACGCCTGCTTAGCTCCTCTGCCTTATTTTATGTAACTCTTGTGTTTTTTCTCTTTGTTTCAAATTATCCCCATTAGAATGTCAGCTCTATGAAAACAAACCCAGGGACTTTTCCCGTCATATATGCTGCATCCCAGAGCCAAGCACGGTGCCTGTGGCAGACGCTCAGGAAATGCTGGTTGAACGAACACTGACTGACCGAACAAGCAAAGCTATGAAGAAGGAATGGTAGTTTGGTTCCTGGTAATGCCAGGGCTACATCAACCTACGGCTTTTTATAGGTTAACGTTGCTGAGGGCCTTCCCCCTAGAGAGGGAGAGAGACAGAGACAGGGAGACAAAGAGAGAGAAAGAGAGACAAAGAGAAGAAGGAGGAGGAGGAGAAAGAGGAGGAGGGGGAAGAGGAGGGGAAGGGGGAGGGGAGGGAAGGGAAAGGGGGAGGGAGGGGGGAGAAGAAGAGGGAGGGGGAAGAGAAGCAGGGGAGGGGGAGGAAGGGGAAGGAGGGGAGGAGGAGAAAGGGGAGGGGGAGAGATGGAAGAAGAGGAGGAGGGACGAGGAAGAGGGGAGGTTGGAGGAGGAAAGAGGTGAGAGCAGAGTCAGGTGGACAGGATGGCCAAATGGAGGAAGAGCTGCTAGTGCAGAGCAGAAAGGTACTGAAGAGGAAGCGAGGACTGTGGGAAACAGAATGTCTCTGACCCTCTCAGTGCTCTTGCAAAAAGCCTTAGCCTCCTGAGAGGAGAGGGGAAGGGAGAAACCCTGAGGGGAATTTTGTTGTTGTTGTTGACTTTTTTTTTTTTTTATTGTACTGCAGGTGAAGGCTTACAGAACAAATAGTTTCTCATGAAACAGTAGTACACATATTGTTTTATGACATTGGTTAACAACCCCACAACATGTCAACCCTCTAACTTCTCAACCTTTTTTTTGGTGAAAACACACATAGCCAAAGATACGCCATTTCAAAAATTTCTACATGCACAGTTCAGTGACATTGACTATGCTCTTCCAATTGTGCTGTTATTCTCACTTAAGATGAAGGCTTACAGAACAAAAGAGTTTCTCATTTAACAGTTACTACAAATGTTGCCCTATGACAATGGTTAACAATCTCACAACACATCAACAATATCCTTACTCAACCTTGGGTTCCCTATCACCAGCTTCCTTGTCCCCTTCTGCCTTCTGGCCCTTGTCACTGGACTCCTGTACCTCGTTAGTCTCATTTGGTTTTACGGAGCTGTCCACTCCAAGGCTGAACAGTGAACCTCGGAGATAACTTCACCACTGAGCTAAAAGGGTGTCTGGGGGCCATACTCTCGGGGTTTCTCCAGTCTCCTTTAGGCCAGTAAATCTGGTCTTTTTTTTGTGAGATAGAATTATGTCCTACATCCTTCTCCAGCTCTGTCCAGAACCCTCTGTTGTGATCCTGTTCAGGGCAGTCAGTGGTGGTAGCTGGGCACCATCTAGCTGTACTGGACTCAGTCCGGTGGAGGCCTTGGTAGCTGTGGACCATTAGTCCTTTGGACTAATCTTTTCCTTGTATCCTGTTCTCTTCATTCTCCCTTGCTCCTGAAGGGATGAGACTGGTGGAGTATCTTAGATGGCCGCTCACAGGCTTTTAAGACCCCAGACACTACTCACCAAGGTAGAATGTAGAGCATTGTCTTTATAAGCTGTGTTACGCCAATTGAGCTAGATGTTCCCCGAGACCATGGTCCCCACAGCCCTCCGCCCAGCAATTCAGTCCCAACCCTGAGGGGAATTTAAGGGTCACTCCATGAACCTGAGATAAACACAATCACTTTTTCCTGGTGGCACAGGGACAAAAGCTGGAAATACGTGCTGTGGCCACTAACAGTGGTACTCTCACTGGCGTAGGTGCGTGCATATGTGGATGAGTTTGGTTCCGTTTCAGAACGATTTAGAAATCTGCTCCCTAAAGTGATGCAGAGGGTTGTAAGTAAAAAATTAAAATTCACAATCCATGGCAACCCCAAATGTTTCTGTGCTCAAGAAGAAAGTGCATTTTATTCCTACAGAAATCAAAGTCCACCCAGGCAGCCCCACAGACTTGAGAAGTTTGTTCTCAGCCCTCTCCCAAGAACCTGCATGCTCTGAATTACTATTTAATTTTCCCCTGTCCACGTTCAAGTAGAAAAAGCAATGGCTTTTATTGGTCCATTAGAATGTTTATATATGAGACACCTAAATCTTCCACCTGGATGCTCGGCATAGCTGTACAACGTGTCATTATTATTTGTTAGGTGGATGCTAATTTTTCTTTTTATATTTTCACAAACTAAGAAGGTTTTATTAATATTTATAGCCCTTGTCCTTCTAATCCGTGACAAACTGCAAAAAGGTAAGTTTCTAACCATGTCGAATCCATAAAATGCCCTCCCCCGTGACTTCCGGGCATTCCACTTGCCAGGCGGTGAGCTGCCCAGTCTAGTAACTGCCCCGGCTGACCCTGTGGGAGACCTGACCCCCAGGTTATCCCCAGTCAGTGATGTTTACGGCACGCTTGGAAATTTCTGGAAGTCAACATAGAGATTTTCAGACAATGAAAGATGATGTCTCCGCAACTTCAAAGGAAGCTAGGTAATTAGGAGGACTGTGAGGAGGAGACGGGGATGAGGTGTTCAAACGCTGACTGACTGCCAAGGGGTGGTGGCCTGCAGTGACTCTCCTGTCATAGGACTGTGGTTTGGGGGGCTCTGGGAGGAAGGGGTCTTACTGTACTTGCAGAGAGAGGGGCACAGCAGAGGGAGAGGCGCCACGTGGAGCACGGCTCTTACCTCTGGGCTGGAGTAGTGCGGAGGCTTGCTGCTCTCACTCCCGCTGGAACTGCTCTCGGTCTCCGAGTCGGATCCAGAGCTGCTCTCAGAGTCGCTGGAGGAGCTGCTGCTGCTGCTGCTGCTGCCACTGCTGCTGCCCTTGCTGGAAGGCACAGAGGCTCTGCAGTTCGGCTGGACCACGGTGCTGCCAACCCATGAGGTCCCGGGAAGGAGAGGGAAGGAAAACCAAGTGAGCAAACACAAACACCCCACCAAGCTTCCGTTCACCAAGGGCCAAGAGGAGGCTCGCCGTCCACTCATCTATTATTGGCCATGAACCAGAACCTGAAGAGCAAGAGCCAGGGTCAAAGGCATTCTAACAATTTTTTAAAAAAATTGTAAAATTGAGGACGCAAGTGGTGCCCCTCGGTCGTCAGGCACGCATTATTCGTGTGGCCTCTGTAGAAGGGAAGGCGGTGTAATTTCCGAGGGATTGCTTCTCTTTGGCTGCTGTTTTGGGGATGGTTTTTCAAATGCATCTCCAAATCCAGTCATCTACAAAAATGCAAGGAAATCCGAAGTTTGAAATAGTTTTCAAAGTGTGAAAATGACTGTTTGTGCCCCTGAGGGGAACACAGACAGATGGCAGGGATTAGGATCAGGCTGTTCGGAGCAGCACTGTGTACTGCCCTGTGCTTTTCTGGCCTCCTTGAAGGTTCTGGAGACCATAAGACATTCAAAGTTACAGTCTCGTTTACCCCCCTTTTCCTTCCCATATAGTGGAGTGCTGCACTCTTTACACGAGCTTGCTTGCCATATAAATGCTGACCTTCCTTTGAGCCCTTACTAAAGTAGATCGACCACATACACTTCTTACATATTCCAAACTTTAAAATTCAACCCCAGTGCAGTGGCTTACAGAAACAGCATTTAAAATATACACCTGACCTTCATATCTGTCCTGAAATTTGCCAGAAAGTAATTACATACTCAAAGACCATAGGAAAAGTTGATGCTTTCCAATGGTAATTAATTAACTACAAAAATTCAAATAGCGCACATCCAGCCAAAGGGTGTTTGAGCCAAGAGGAAAATTTCAGTACTCACACAATATTCAACACCTCCCAAGTCCTTTATTAACTGAACCTCTGAATGCGTTCTTTTGAGGGCAAGTTTTAAATCCAGGAAACAGAGTGATCACTTTTTTAAAAAATGCTGAGTCACCAAATACCTGTTAGCCACTTCTTTGGGACCACTGCTTCAACGGGGCTGAGCATCAGTGAAGGCCTGGGGCCTGAGAGCTAGCTGTTCAGGGCTTATGGTCTAAAGTGCAAAGCAGCCTGGACATGGGAAAGGACGCTTTTCACCCACCCTTTAAATCTTTGACAAATGCTTTTCCCAAGGATAGACTCTCATAAGTCAGCGGTGTGTTGGGAGGTGTGGGGGAGGGAGACTTAACACTGATTGGAGCCTTGCTTCTCCTTTAAGTACGACAAGATGCTACCTTGCAGGAAATTTGAAAATAAAAGCGACTTTTTGAACCGTAAGATTGGGGAAACCAGAGTTTGAACACACCCTCCCCTAGTGGTTTTGATTTCTTCCACCAATGTCACGGTCAATACCTACTGTCTGACAACATTCTTCAACATCAGACAACATCTGCACATTTATGCCTTGCCTGGGCTCCAGCGAGCTCTTCTGCAGTCCATCATGTGTGTCTGGTGTTAAGTGAGGAATCCTGGACTCGGAGACACAGGAGGGGGAGGGAAGGTTAGTGATCAAGGGGCTGTAATATTTCTTTCCTCCCTTATGAACTAAAATCCGTCTTTCCTGTTGACCGAACAGAGATGGCTACTATCAATGGAGTCATGAAAAAAAAAAAAGCCTCTTGGATTCTGACTGCACATGAACATCTGGGACCCATGTTAACAGTTGGGTGGGGAGGCCTCCAAACACTGGGAATAAAAACACATGGCCCAAAGACTTCCTTGTCACAAGGATGGTCGGGACAGATGTGGAGGAGAGAGACGTGTCTCCCTGCCACACGCTGGAATGACACTTGCTGAAAACTGGAAAACTAAGATGAATCAAGAGCATTTTGATTGATTTTGTATGATGGTCACTGGCTTTGATCACTGATCAGTACACCGTACCTGCTTTAGTGCAAACAAAGAAGAACACGAGATGCTGGTTCTATGTGCACACAGGCTTTGTACGTGCAGCAGAGGCAGCGGTGGGATGGAATTTCCCGGGGCTTGCACCACAGAGCGATTCACTGTCTTTTGAAAAACGGCACTTTAATTTCTGGGAAAATGTCCATTAAATGGTTACCACGCCACCTTTCTTTTACAACTGCTATCCTCTCCTAACGAGACACACTCGCTCGAGGAGAAAGAACCTCACATCTGAATTAGATTGGCAGAAAAGCCTTAGGCTTTTATGTTTTCCACCCTTAAACTAGGAAACTCACTTAAAATGACAGTTTTACCAGCATGATTATTATTTGTTTTTAAAATGGTTAAGAGAGTCAAGAATCTGAGGTTGTTCTTCATGCTTTGCTTGTAAGGGCTGTGAGGTTCATGATGCATCTGGGATCAAGATTGAGCATATGCATGTTTCCAATGGTCTAGGCAGAGAAAATATAGGCAGAAAAAAATCCATTTCAAGGATGGGGGCAAGCTTGCGTGGGAGGGCTCTGGCTGCTCCACTGTGGACTCAGGGTAACCATCCCGACCTCCTGTGAAGGCAGCACTTCACAGACTAGCCTTTGTGCAGATCCTTGGGGACAACTGTCATTCTGGCCTCAGTATAATGACTACCCTTGCCTTGAGTGCGTGCAGCTGCTCTGCCTCTGTTGGGGAGGCGGCAGCAGTAAGAGGGCAGAACAAAGACAGAAGACGAAGCCAGGGATGCTCATCACTACAGATAAGTCCCAATAAAAGGATGGGCTAGTTCAGTCAGGAAGGCTCTCTGGTGTCACAGAATCAAGAAGATAGGAAAAGACATACCAGAAACACCTTTAAAAGAAGACTTTAGGCTTTATATATTTATAATTTGTTGTTGTTTTGTTAGCTGCTGTCGCGTCGACCCCAGAGTCATGGCAACCTCATGCCCAGTGGGGCTGTGATCCATAGGATTTTCACTGGCTGACTTTCAGAAGTAGATAGCCAGGCCTTTCTTCCTAGTCTACCTTAGTCTGGAAGCTCCACTGAAACTTGTTCAGCATCATAGCAACACGTAAATCTCCACTGACAGACAGGTGGTAGCTGCACTTAAGGTACATTGGCTGGGAATCGAACACGGATCTCCCACATGGAAGGTGAGAATTCTGTCACTAAACCACCATTGCCCCCATATTTAAAATGACAAACTGCAAATTTTAACATGTCAACCGATTGTCTTGTTTATGTATTAAAAACTGAGTTAGCAGACTCTTTTCCTGAAATGATAACATGGACCAGTGACATGACGACACAGCCTTGGACAATTTTTAGGAGGCTGCCTACTAAGTTCTTGGCACTTAGGACATTTTTCAGGACATTTTATGAACACGGTGCCATAGACTCTGCAGGCATTAAAACATTCCTGAGATCATGGAATAACATTCTTTAGGTCACCAAATCCTGGGACAGTGCCTGGCACGTAATAGGCACTGGCATAGAATTACTGAATTAAAAAAATAAAAAAGTCCATTGCTGGATTCATGAGTTTAAAAAAAATGGACATAACCTTTCAAAAAGGTTACAATCTCTCTTTTCCAATACTATATATATATATATGTATGTATGTATATTATAGGTACTTTAGCACCTCCTGTGGTGACCTGTCCCAATATTAACAATTCTTCCTTTCAGAGAGTACTTCCTTAAATGTACTCTAAATTTCATCTGCTGTAATTTAAGCACAGTTCCCTCATGGGTGGAGTGATGGTTACGGTTATGCATCACTTGGCTAGGCTGTGATTCTCAATGGTTTGGCAGATATTATGTAATCATCCTCCGTTTTGTGATCTGATGTGAGCAGCGAATCAGTCAGAAGGCCAATCAGTTGAAAGTCCATCAGTTTCCTTGGGGGTGTAGCCTGCATCCAACATATATGGATATTCTGGCAAAGCTCTCTCTGGATCCTGCATCTGACTCATCATCCTCTGACCTCCTGGGATGTGAGCCAGAAGCCTGATGCCTAACCTGCTGATTTTTGGTTCATCAGCTCCTGCAACCACGTGAGCCAGCAGCCTTCCATCTGGCTTGCTGATTTTGGGTTTTTCAGCCCCTGCAACCACGTGAGTCAGAAGAAGCCTCCAGCATGATGCCTGATCCATGGATTTGGGACTTGCCAGCCTCCACAACTGCATGATCCATTTTCCTTCAGATAATCTCTCTCTCTCTCTCTATAGCTATATGGAGCGCTGGTGGCACAGTGGTTAAGAGGTCGGCTACTAACCAACAGGTAGGCAGTTCGAATTTACCAGCTGCTCCCTGAGAACCCTATGGGGCAGTTCTACTCTGTCCTATAGGGTCACTATGAGTTGGAATCAACTTGACAGCAATGGGTTTGGCTTTGGTTTTATCATCGAGTTCACTGATGCTTTCCTTTGTCCTCTTCATTCCACTGTTGAGCCCATCCATTGAGTTTTACTATGTTGGTTACTGCATTTTTCAGTTCTCAAATTTCCATTTGGTTCTTCTTTATATCTACTACTTCTTTGCTGAGACTCTGCTTTTTCATTTTATGACGGATTCTTTAAAATCCTTGTTAGATAATTCTAACATCTGTGTCACCTCAATATTAGCATCTGTTCACTGTCTTTCTCAATCAGCTTGAGATTTTCCTGGTTCTTGGTATGACAGGTGATTTTTTATTATATCTTGGACATTTCTGGCATTATGTTATGAGACTCTGAATTTTTTAGCAGGCCTGTTTTAGCAGGCCTCTGCTGACACTATGTCAGTGGGAGGGTGGAGGGGTGCCTCATTACAGCTGGGTGAGAGTGGAAGTCTATGTTCCCCATTTGGCCTTTCCTGATGAGGGTTGAGGATGGTGCCACGGCTTTTTTTTTTTCACCTAATGTTTAGTTGGAGTAGAGTAGTTACTTCTAAAACTTTTCTGCCTTGCTAGGCAACCCATTTTCTGGTCCTTTGGATAGACAGAACAAGCTTTACTGAGGCTTATTTTTATCTGTGCTTGTTGACATTTCTGGGTTGC